TCGTAACGGGTGAATCGTATCGCATCGCATCGGTAGCTGCTTCATATGTATCTTTAATGTATCGTATCGTTGGCTATGCATCGAGATGCGTATCGTATCGGCCTCAGTCATGAGATGCACATCCCTAATAAATATATATATATATATATATATATTTCTTGAATACATTAAACTTTTTGAATAAGTAAATGTGATGTGATGTCTGCTTTAAAGGTGAAGTGTTAAATTCGTTTTCAGGTGTGTTAATTTGATTTCAGGTGTAGTAATTTTTTATGTAAGTCGGCAGCCCTTTGGTGTTCCCCTTCTCTTTCTAAGGCTGGAGAACTGGAAATTTGAGGAGTGGGGTGATCAGGTGACTGTTGTGTCATGTGACATGAGGGAATGGACAGCTCCAGAGAAAGCAGATATCATTGTGAGCGAGCTTTTAGGGTCATTCGGAGACAATGAGCTTTCACCCGAGTGCCTTGATGGAGCACAGCACTTCCTCAAAGGTTTGATATGAAATCATCTTTGTCTTTTCTTTTAAAATTCTATGATTTTTTTGATATGCCCTGTTTTACATCTTTTGATCAGCTCATGGATGTTTGTTTTCTCTTAGATGATGGTATAAGCATTCCCTGCTCTTACACGTCTTTCCTGGCTCCGCTGTCCTCCTCTAAACTTTATAATGAAGTGCGTGGGTGTCGGGAGCGAGACAAAGACCCTGAGTGCCATTTTGAGACACCGTATGTTGTTAGACTACACAACTTCCACCAACTTGCAGACCCCAAACCCTGCTTCACCTTTGTACATCCCACCACAGGTACAAGATCATGCAGAGACAGACACATAGATGCCAAAAAGACCATATGTACTGCGAAAATCCCTTTCTATGAAGCCATTAACTTGTGATCTTTACCCTGTACAGATATGAATAATAACCGGTATCAATGTCTACGATTCTCCATTGGTTGTAATTCAGTGCTTCACGGCTTTGCTGGATACTTCGAGGCCACACTCTACAAAGATGTCACGCTCAGTAAGTATTTTGTAGTAGCAGTGTTTGTGGCACACAATGTCAGTTTTAAGCCTGTTTCACAATGTAAGGCTTGCAATGTTCATAAATTTCTGGGTTACCACATTGAGTGTATTCTGTAATAATGGCCACAAATTGCATTGTTATCAGGAGAGGGCAATTGAAAATCATGTACATAAAGAATACAATTAAATTTCCATCCAAATAGTAGACAAAGTGTTGAAATTATCTGTATTGAGTATTGTGTCTTGCTTTGTGTGGCACTTTCAACAACTATTGCCATCTTGCAGGTATAAAACCTGAAACACACTCTCCTGGGATGTTCTCCTGGTTCCCCATCCTATTCCCTTTGAAAGTAAGTTCATGAAAGAAGTAGAACTTTTTTTTCTATACTTTTTTTCTGTAACTCTTGTGTTTTTGTAAATCTGCTTTTAAAGATAGCTTCAGATGCTGACATGGCATTAAAATCTGTACTACTACTATATTTGTGTACTGCATGAAATACAAGCATACACTACACTACTAATAAAAGTAATGAATATTAGGTTGCATTAATCAAAAGTGACAGACAAAAAAATGTATTTCAAATAAATGCTGTTCTTTGAACTTTCTATTAATCGTAGAATCCTGAAAATAAAGTATCTGTTTCCACTAAAATATTAAGCAGAACTGCTGCATTTTCAGCATTGATAATAATTAGCTATGTTTCTTGAGCAGCAAATCAGCATATTAGAATGATATCTGAAGGATCAAGTGACACTGAAGACTAGAGAAATGGCTACTAAAAATTCAGTTTTTCCATCACTGAAATAAATTACAATTTTAAACTATTCAAATTAATATATAAATAGAAAACAATTGTTTTAAATTGTTATAATTGTTTTTACCATATTACTGTTTTTACTGTATTTTATTTGATCAAAAATTTAGCCTTGATGACCGTAAGATATTTATTAAAAAAAAAAACCTGAATGATTCCATATTATAATTAAATTTATATTGTTTATAATAGTAGTTCCTCCACCCTGGATTATTTCACTGTTCATAACTAGCCATTTTTGGATTATTTTATTTTATTTTATTTTTTTATTTTTTTTACACTTAGAAGTTAGGAGTGCATTTTTCACTTAGCTCATCCCAGTGTATTCTGGGAATGCCTTCTCAGTGAGTGCTAGCATGCTTCATTTTAGCTCTCAGCTTATCTTTATATTTGACTTTTATCAAACAGTGCAGTTCCACTGATACTGTGTTGTTAATGCTGCTGTGTTTTATCTCAGTACTTGATTGCTATCCATCACACAATGTATGCACTTTCTTGTAAAACCATTTGGTGTGAACGTCTGCCATGGACATAAATACAGTTAGCACTTTCAGTTTGAAAGGAGCCAGCTAAGCACTGTCAAAGCGTGGCAGTTTATCAGCTCCCCAGTTAATGCGCTGAAGTGTACAGTCACGTTGGGAGTGTAATCCTAACACCTTTTTTTTCCCCCTCACTCTCTTCCCCAATGCAGCAGCCGATCTCGCTGTCCTGTGGCGATAACGTGAGTGTGAGGTTCTGGAGGTGCAACCATGGAAAGAAGGTCTGGTATGAATGGGCTGTGACTGAGCCTGTATGCTCTGCCATTCACAACCCTGCTGGGCGCTCTTACACCATCGGCCTGTAGCAAGACTCACATGCTGACATCTACTGACACATGGGGTTACACTGACTTATTTTTTGTCTTGTTTTTTTTTATTTTATAAACAATCTGATTTTCAGTCAAGTGGCAGGTTTAAATATCTTGTTTCAAGGGCCCAACTACACTCAAGGAGATCGTTCACCATGACAGCTATGTATCTTTAGCCATTTCTGTAATGTTCATAAGGATGGAAATTAAAACCGCACTTATGAGGTATCATTTAAAGCAATGCGCGATGTCCTGGTGCTCTTTCTTAGTTCAAACTTCTCTGATATTTCAAAAATATATTAACACAAAAGCTGTTAGTTTTTGAATACTATTATTTCTAGAACTGATTGTGTGAATCCGGCAGTCTATTTTTGTCACTCTACATAATACATCAGCCTTATTTTCCAATTGTCCACCAGTGCCCTGCAATGCCCCATGATGAGAATAATCATAGTATAATTTCCCCAGTTAGGAAACATATTCCATACTTTTATACAGTTTTTTTCCCCCCCTGTATTGTCATATAACGTGAATAAAAAAAGGTACAAAATTATGTGATCTTTTTCTCTGCTATATTTTAAAAAAATGCCTCAGGACAAACTCACTCCATTTCTTTAATCTATGAGTCTAGGGGTGTTGCAATATACAGTTATTAATGATGACCATGATATTTAAAAAATTAATTAATTAAAGGTTGATATTGTGTTAATATTACACGCACACAATTATATTGTAAATAATCCAGTGTCAGTAAATGTAGTTTACACTCCAGTATCGTAGGTGGTAGTATTGCACCTGCTATGAAGCAGATTATGAAATTAAAAAATCAAAATTAAATGTTAAACAGTCACAATTATGACGCGATGATAAAAAGACAATTATTACATGAAAATGGACTTATCTCAGTTTTAACTTTCGGTCTCATAATTATTATAATTATTATTTCTAGTCGACACTCCACCATAGTAGGTGGCGGTATTGCACCTTAAAACTCATTCTGTCTGCAGGAATTGCCGATTAACACAAAACATTAATTTGTTTATTCTTATGTACAGTTACGTGTGATTCATTGGCCAAAAAAAGAGAAAACACAATAAAGTTAAAGAATCATTTAAATTGTTTTTTTTTATCATTATAGTGAATTATTGTAAGTCATAATTTCATAATAAGTCTTAAAAGATCATCAAAACTCATGAAACAAAGTCATAATTGACCCAAGTCAAAATTATGAGATAAAGTGACATGAAAAATGAAATTGTTAAATTCTGCTTTATATGACAATTTACTTTGTCTACATTTTTGTTATAATTTTGACCTTTTATCTTATGATTTCAACTTTTTAACTTTCAATTATTACTTTTTGTCATAATTATTTCATATTCGATATGCATTATGACGTCTTATATTGTGACAGCCATAGTTGAGCCAATGTTGCTGTGTGGGGCTGGTCAGGATGCTCAAACAGAGCCACTGTGTTTACATGAACATTTTGATGCTGAAAATTATATAAAATGTAGATAAACATCAAAATGTCTTCTAGGCACAGAACAGTCACATTAGCTGTTGAATGTATTTAAGAGACAGAAGTAATTTGTAGCTAAATAATTAGGCAGGGAAACCATCAGCGCTGATTTTGTTCTCTCCGTTTACTCCTGAACACTCATTAAGAGAGCACAGCTTGTAAACAAGAAGATTTCTCCAGCAGTTTCTGCCAAGACATCTGAACCTATCATGCAGGGAATTTTCACAAATATCCGTTCAAGCACCAATGACTGTGATCCTTGTCTTCTTGGTGAGCAACTTTGGAAGACACTACAGAAGGTGATTGCTTTGTATTTTATTCAGTTATTCTGAAACACAAATTTCTTTGGAGTTAAATTTTACAAGCCTTTGCATCGTTTAGGTCATTGTTAAAATGTGCCAGTCTGAGGAGGTGGGCTTCCCCTGCTGAGTCTTGGTTTCTTCTACACAGAGCTACTTAGAACATCTTAGGGAGTTTCTTCACTGGCACTGTTATCTTTGGCAGCTCACTGGGGTGCATGCAAGACATTGTGTGTAAATCAGCTTTGGAATAGTACGCATTGTGAAAGCACTACAAATAAATCAAAATTTAGCTTTAGGAAAAAGCTTATTGATTTGCATGGCTGACTGAGAAGCTTTGTTCTTTGGCCAGAGAACAAATTTTTGTCACATGGCCCCTATAGCAAACATAATTGTGGCCTTTTGAAGTGCTGAAAAAAAAATGTTACAGCCCTGTTATGCAAATATATGTGTCTGCCGGACACAGACACCGACAGACAACCAGCAGTGGCCTTAAAAAAAGAGATCGGACTCCTCAGTGCATGTGGTATTATTGTGGGTAAGTCTGTGTTTTATGCTTTACTTTTCCTCTTTTTATTCTCCTTGCACTTTATATGGTAGAAGAATCCATGTAGTTGATAAAAAAGCAGGCCTATAATTTGTGTCCTCTGAATTCATATAAGATGAGATGTTGATGCATATTCATGATATTTTGAAGAACTGTACATACAATAAAAATGAAAGGGGTCCAATATTTTTCAAACACCAATACATTTTTCAAAATATCCTCTTCCACAGAAGAAAGATCATCATACTGGGTATAGGATATGTGCATAAAGTACATTATTAATTTAAATATTATATATTTAAATGACATAAATGAGAAATACAGCATATGAATGCTAACTCCATCCTAGCAGAGCAAACACAGCATGGAGTTGAAGCACAGGTAAGGGCCCAAGTAAGGATTATAAACGGAAGAGATTTATCACTAGGAGTCTGGTGTTAGGTAGCAAGTTTAAACTTAAACTAGGTCACTACATGGCATGTAATTTAGACTTGAATGCAAGAAGCTCACCATCATGTCTGCCAGTTATCTCACTGCTGGGTTAATGCGTGTTACCTGAGATTTTAGCTGTCAGTAGGTGTTTGGGTTACAGTAGGTCGGGTCACTATCTACCTGTGTGGTCCATTAACAGGTGCTGTTGTTTTGGCAATAGTAAGTGTGTGTGTGTGATCATTTGGTTTTAAGGCCTCAGGTTTTACACACAAAAGTGGGATGTTGGTTAAAGATCGGTGTTGTCAAAACATTTGTAGGTTTAGGTTTTTGAAAGTGTCATGAATTGGATAGTTGTTCATACCTCTTGTCATGTCTGTTCCTGTTGTAGCTTGGGATAAAACCCCAAAACAGTGATGTTTAATACATTGACAACAACTGTTTTTCAATCCTCTGATTAACATTTAATATTCAGATGACCTAAGAATGACCTTGATGGTTAGATGAATTATATATATATATATATATATTACCCTCTCAAAAGTGCTTCCCCCATGCATTAATTTACATAGTTTATATATTTACAGGTGCTTGTTTGTTTTTGGTGTTCATTTGTTTTATATTTTCGTCTTTCTCTATTTTTTTCATTTGCAAGGACAATAAATGAATATGAAGAAACAGGATAAAATAGTAGAATAGAAGATTGTTTCTTATTTTGTGCAAAAATAAATAATGAAGTAAAGGGACTCAGGAAGGTGCTTCAATTAATAATAAATAAATAAAAACCAACAGCTTATTTCATTATCCCCTTGCCTTTTTTCCAAATCTCTGGAGAATTCCACCTCTAAACAAAGGAACTTTTCACTGCTCAAAATATTTTATATTCTTAATATTTTACCAGACTGGTTGAAACCAACCCTCAAGGTCACAAAGCACTGAAGAAAACCTTGTATAAGAGAGGAACACAGTTTGAGGCATGTGCAAAGAAGAGAAGAATACAGAGACAAAGAATTTTATAGGATATATACACTACTGTTCAAACGTTTGTAGTCGGTACGAGTTTTTTATTTTGTTGAAAGAAGTCTCTCATGCTCTTAAAGACAATTATTTGATCAAAAATACATCACAGACAGTAATATTGTGAGACATTATTAGAATTAAAAATAACTTTTTATTTTAATTTATTCCTGGCAAATTATGACTCCAGTCTTCAGTCAAATGATCCTTCATAATATAGTCTAATATGCTGATATGGTGCTTATTATTATCAATGTTCAAAGAATTTGTGCTGCTTAACAATTGTGTGGAAACCATTACACTTTTTTAGGGTCCTTTGATGAATATAAAAAGAACAAAATAAATGTTTTGTAACATTTTAATGCATCAATTTTCAATTGAATGCATTCTTGCAAAATAAAAGGATAATAAATCCCAATAAATCTGACTCTAAACTTTTGAATGGTTGAGCAATGAACATCCAATAACCCACATGTGCTTGTTCATGGGGGCGTGTTTAGTGTTTTGGGGGCCCTCAGCAAGTGGTCCCTCAGTAGAAATCCCCCTGGACCGCGGGGTTGTGCATTAATTGAGAGTTGGACTAACTGCTTCCACTTATCTGGCAAGGCTTTCTTTTAAATACTGAAACATGGCAGTGGGGATTTACTTGCTTTCAGACACAATCATCAATGGGCTCCTTCTATTAACTCTTCTTGCCTGTTTGTTGTCATTTTCCCAGGTAACATCATTGGGTCTGGGATCTTTGTAAGTCCAAAGGGTGTTTTGGAAAATTCCAGCTCAGTGGGTCTGGCTCTCATCGTGTGGACTCTCACTGGCGTCATCACTGCCATCAGTGCTCTGTGCTATGCTGAACTGGGAGTCACAATCCCAAAGTCAGGCGGAGACTATTCCTATGTTAAGGACATCTTTGGCGAGCTTGCTGGGTAAGACTGACTCATTTATTTAGATGTAATGTAATGTGAGGACTGACAGGACTTGTCTTCTGAATAGGTTTCTAAGGCTGTGGATTGCAGTGTTGGTGATCTATCCAACTAACCAGGCTGTGATTGCCCTCACATTTGCCAATTACGCATTGCAGCCTCTCTTCCCTTCCTGCTTCCCTCCAGAGAGAGCGCTGGGTCTGCTCGCCGCCGTCTGCCTGTGTAAGTAAATGCTCACAATTTAAACATGCTTTGGGGCTAAGTTGCATTCTCCATGACAAAAACGTTTTATCCAAGAACATGGGTAGTAACTGATTACATGCAATCTGGACTAT